TATATATATATATTACCCTTAAAAAAATACTATATTTTGTATTTATTTATTTTTCTTAACGGACGTTAAAAAAAAGTTAAAGTGACAATAAAGAGAATCATTATACACCGCCACAATATAAAAGTTAAACCTATAGGGGAGAAATTCGGGAATATGCAGTTGCATGCGCTCGAAAAATTGTACAGTTGACTCGTGTCTGCTCCATCTGCCAGCATTGTTATGGTGCAAGGCACCGCGTGTCTTTATCTTGTCCTTTCTTCGCCACGTACTTCCAACAACTGCATCGTCACCAACCTAAAATTCTTTATATATAGATATCTCATGCAAACGTGACTATGCACTGCATGAAAATTTCACAGAAAGGCTTAAAAACTATACTTCGAGAGAACATTTCAATATTTTTAGAAGGTTTATCTAGGAGTTGCTAAAACAGAAACAATAATGGCTTCAGGGCAACAAGAACGTTCAGAACTTGATGCAAGAGCTAAACAAGGAGAAACAGTGGTCCCTGGTGGCACTGGTGGCAAGAGCCTTGAAGCTCAGGAGCATCTTGCTGAAGGTTAAGCTTAACTAGATCTTCTACTTCTTTTTTATTCTTATGCGAACTTTAAGTTAAAAAGCTTAAATTGCTAGACTGTCTATGTTTTTATTTACTTAATTAGCTTAATATGCGTACAGAAATTTCTACACTCCAAGTATTAATTGAAAGATATCTATAAGTAGTTCTTCAGGACCCAATCTTGAAAATAAAGCCAGTATATTACTAGAACAAGTATTGAAATATCATCTTATTTGAAAGATTAAGCTAATAAAGAGATGCACATTATTGGCTAATGATGTTTGATTTTGTTGAATTGAATGAAGGGAGGAGCAGAGGAGGGCAGACAAGAAAGGAGCAGCTAGGAACAGAAGGGTACCAAGAGCTGGGACAAAAAGGAGGACAGACAAGGAAAGAGCAAATAGGGAGAGAAGGGTATCAAGAAATGGGTCGAAAAGGTGGACTTAGTACAACTGAGAAATCTGGTGGTGAACGTGCTGCTGAAGAAGGCGTTGACATCGATGAATCCAAGTTTAGCACCTCTTAAAACGTTTGGAGTTAAAGCTGTTTTATGTATTACTGTGTTTAATCTGTTTCGTTGTCGAGTGGCCAATCCTAGATTAGGTTGCAGCGTTTTGGTGTGTGTCTTAGTTCTGTAAAAATATGTTGTGCCTTATGTAAGGGGCTAGGTTATCCCTAGTCTGTACGGTTTATTACTAATGACTGATTAGTTTAATTTCTGATTTCTTGTATGCTTTGGTCAAATATTATGTGGAACTTTAGAATCTTGGATCACAAGGTGGTACGTATCTCGCGAAAGTTGGAAGGGATTGGTAACTATTGTGCTCGATATGCGCCGGCCCAGATAGATATTGTGGTCGATGTGCGCCAGAGTAAATAGATGAAAAACGAAGTAAGAGAAATCAAAGTGAATTACGAAGTAATTTATATATTTGATAACATGCTCGAAATAGTGTTCTGTACAATTAACCTGGAAGTTGGTACCAGGAAATTATCGGTCGAGAGTAGAAAATAGAAAGAATTTAGGAACTCTTTTGTTTAATTGAATAGAGTGAGAGGACCAAGGGAGCAGTTTTCACTGGGGAGAGTCAACCTGGAAGTTGGTACCAGGAAATTATCGGTCGAGAGTAGAAAATAGAAAGAATTTAGAAACTCTTTTGTTTAATTGAATAGAGTGAGAGGACCAAGGGAGCAGTTTTCACTGGGGAGAGTCGAACATTATCTGGGCAATTTGTTGGATTATATATTGGAACCGAAGCAGTTTCAAATAATTAGGACACACGGAAATTATACGAGAGTTTGAAGCGTGAAGCAGATTAATTTTTGAGTAATTTCGGCCTTCAATTTTGGAGCAGCAGATTAATTTTTGAGTAGCAAAGACCGCAACCGGAGAATTTTCGGTGGGCATTAGGTTTTCTCCTTTCCCAAAGGAAAGGCCTCCTTTATTTCTTATTATTTATGCACAATAAATACAGTAGAATTTAATTTTAAAATTCGAAATTAATTTTTATCATAATAAATTATGAATTATATTAGTAGAAATTCGTAATTATACTCTTTAGTTCAATTTTAAAACTCTTCCAGAAAAATCTCATTCAACTCCCAGATACTAATTAATTAAATTAAATTATTGATAATTTAACTATTAATTACTACCTTTAGATTATTCATGTGTCCCATGCAAAATTTACCGGTCGGATTTACACATAAAAACTTATAAGCTTTTATAAAGGAGTATTATCAATCTCAAAAGACAAGATTTGAATTCTATCAACTAATTATTATTTCGTCAATAAATATTATTATTGTTCAATTTACCAGGTTTATTTACTCATGAAAGGATTTCGTCTTTTAATAAATCAAAATAATAAATGACACACATAACTAGTAATAATTATATCAAGATTAAGAGTATAAGTACATTGAATGGACTAGAAAAATTATTTTATTAAGCAGTATAAAATATTTATCTCCACTTAATTCGTTCAATACATACAAAATGTACTAGCTCAAGAAGTCAGAATTAAACAATTTCCATAATCAAGATATACTATATTTAATTTTGTGCTCCAATTCCATCAGTAAACTTTATGACTTGCAAGAATCGACGATTTTAATCTTTCATGTATAAGCTGAACTCTATACACTAAATCATCTATTATGTAAGCAAAGAACGCACAGATAAATATATAATTTATTTAAAATAAAACTTTATTGAATTAAATAAATAAATAATCATTCCATAACAAATACTATAACAATACGAATGGTTTATAGTGTATCCTAACACAATTAGCCTTTGATGAAATAATAAGTTGAGGCAGGATGTTAACCAAGAAATTTTGGAAGGCTTGTTGCTCCTAAACGCACATGCAAGTATACGTGGTCGACAAGTAATATAGGATTGTAAGTCCAGATATCGTACCCACAGGGACTTGTGATTAACAATCAAACAATCAATTAAATTAAACCCAAGCAATTAATCTATTCAAGCGAATCCTAAAGTATTAATAATTAACTCAAACTAATCTACCGTAACAAACTAAGAGATTAAAGAAAACAAAGACAAGCTTAAAGACGAATTCAATGGAAGAGAATATTCTAGAGAAATGGGTTAGTTAACAATCATGTTGAGGTTTCTATCTAAATTGTCTAATTAATTTATCTAGTTTATTGATGGACTGGGTTAATATTGCTCATAGACTTCTCCCGAAGTACAACTCGCCTATTCAAGCTAACCAAACACTTATAGGATTAACAAGAACGCATTTATAATTCTTCCAACAGTGATAATAAAAAAGACCTGGGAATCAAAAAATTGAAAGCATAGGGGAGTCACAGCCCCCAACCAAGGGAGTGGTTACGTTCACTATGTCCCCCTTATTCCCGACATGCTATGGTCGTATAATTACCAAGCAAGGCAATTAGGTATATTCCTATCATAACCGCAAATCCGTTCCCGATACTCGAGTTCAAGATCTTGCTCTACTCAATTTATATGCAATCTAGAATTCTTTCTCCCGAGTTCAATCCTAGATTAGTAGATAGTATTTAATTGGTGATCAAGCAATCATGTAATTAAGCGCAAGATTGAATAAATAAACCAATATGATAAATTCAAGCTTCAAACTACAACTTTCATATAGCACCTCACAACTCTAGAACTTATAAACTATGAAACTAAAAAAAGAGAAGAGAAGAAAAACTATTTAGAAGCCTCCTCCAAGCGTGGTGTGCGTTCATCCACGTGAATTCTCCTCCAAAGTATGTTAGATATCCTCAAAATTAGGTTTAGGACCCCTTTTATATGAGATGGGGTCGTGTAGGACCGAAATAACCTTGTCCCGAATTAAGTAGGAAAAATCCCGTCACGCAGGGTTCAGGCCAGCGCCTCACGCTGGCCGTGGCGCCGAAGTCAGTGAGCGATTTGCAATTTTGCTTGTTTTCGATTTCGTTCTTCGCTTGAATGAGATTTCCATTTTTTATTGTCCTACATTTGGGGGGACAAACACCAAAGAGTGTCCCCCCCCCCCCCCCCCCCCC